AAGGACCTAACAGAAGCAGAAGATGTCGAGAAGAGGTGGCAAGAATACACAGAAGAATTATACCAGAAAGATATGGATGGCTCGTACACCCCAGGTTGTGTGGTTGCTGACCTTGAGCCAAAAATCCTGGAGAGTGAAGTCAAATGGGCTTTAGAAAGCTTCTTCTTCTTTGGCGATCCCTCGTAGCCGAGTAAGATTGTCTTCCATAAACATAGTTTTAACAATGAGTCCGTAGGTGACTATGGAGGCCAATTCTGGACCCACACATCCTTCCACAGTGGGGACATTGGTTTCCGGGCGGGAGTCGATCACAGTGTGGATTTGCCAAGCATGCCTTCCTCTTAGCACGTTTCTCCCTTGCGTCCTGAGTTCGAGTGTCTTCAAAGCCCATGACACCTTTGGTAAAGGCTGTTCTCCAACTGGAGCGCTCGCAGGCCAGTGTTTCCCAGTGGTCAGTGTTTATACTACATTTTTAAAGATTTGCCTTGAGACAGTCTTTCAACCTCTTTTACTGACCACCAACATTACGCTTTCCATTTTAAAGTTCAGAATACAGTAGTTGCTTTGGAAGGCGATCATCAGGCATCCACACAACATGACCAGTCCAGCGAAGTTGACATTGAAGAATCATTGCTTCAACACGGGTGATCTTTGCTTCTTCCAGTACAGTGGTACCTAGGGTTAAGTACTTAATTCGTTCCGGAGGTCCATTCTTAACCTGAAACTGTTCTTAACCTGAAGCACTACTTTAGCTAATGGGGCCTCCTGTTGCCGCCGCGCCACCGCCGCAGCACGATTTCTGTTCTCATCCTGAAGCAAAGTTCCTAACCTGAAGCACTATTTCTGGGTTAGCAGAGTCTGTAACCTGAAGCGTATGTAACATGAAGCGTATGTAACCCGAGCTACCACTGTACACTGATATTAGTTTGCCTGTCTTCCCAAGTGATGTGTAAAATTTTTCAGAGACACCGCTGATGGAATCTTTCGAGGAGTTGGAGATGGCGTTTATAAGTGGTCCATGTTTCACAAACTGACAGTAAGGTTGGTAGTACAATAGCTTTGTAAACAAGCATTTTGCTTTCCCTGCAAATGTCCCGGTCCTCAAACGCTCTGCGCTTCAATTGGGAAAAAGCCACATGCACAGAGCTCAGGCGATGCAGGAGAAGTGATTGACATTTTCCAACGTTATACCATTGAGTTGGATTTGTGGCGCTGCAGCGGGGTTATTTTGTGCTTGTTGGTGCAGCACTTTGGTTTTTGGGATGTTGAGTGATAGGCCAAGCTTTTTGTAAGCTTCTGCAAAGATATTTAGAAAGCACTGCTAATAACAAGGCCAGTGGAAGTGATGATATTCCAGCTGAACTATTTAAAATTGTAAATGATGATGCTGTTAAGGTGCTACACTCAATATGCCAGCAAGTTTGGAAAACTCAGCAGTGGCCAGAGGATTGGGGAAAATCAGTCTACATCTCAATCCCAAAAAAAGGGCAGTGCCAAAGAATGCTCCAACTACCGCACAATTGCGCTCATTTCACACGCTAGCAAGGTTATGCTTAAAATTCTACAAGGAAGGCTCAAGCAGTATGTGGACCGAGAAATCCCAGAAGTGCAAGCTGGATTTCGAAGAGGCAGAGGAACCAGAGACCAAATTGCAAACATGCGCTGGATTATGGAGAAAGCTAGAGAGTTCCAGAAAAATATCTACTTCTGCTTCATTGACTACGCAAAAGCCTTTGACTGTGTCGGCTGCAGCAAACTATGGCAAGTTCTTCAAGAAATGGGAGTGCCTGATCACCGCATCTGTCTCCTGAGAAATCTCTATGTGGGACAAGAAGCTACAGTTAGAACTGGATATGGAACAACTGGTTGGATCAAAATTGGGAAAGTACCTTAGGGCCAACCAAAATATTACTGAGTCACTAGGAAGCTTCCAGGTTCTACAGAACGCTTCATCACATTAGGGAGGGCAGGGAGAAAACAGAGGAATCTGCCTTATAATGAGCCAGATCATTGGTCCATTAAGCTCAGTATTGTCTCCCTCTTTTTTTAGTTTTTTATTTATGCTTTTCAAATTTATACATTTTCATTCGTTTTACAGTCAATTCAACATTTCCCTTCCCCCTCTTTCTGAGGTTCCTTAAATTTATTTTCTAATCTCTTCTGCATATCCAAATTCAATTGACTTATTCATTTGATTATCTACTATAAATATATACTCTTATAAAACTGCAGGTTATTACAATAATCCTGCCAATGTGTTTATCTGTTTGCAATTTATCTGTAAATATTCAATAAGCCGTTTCCATTCTTTTATTTAAAAAGTTTGTTGTCTTGATTTCTTATTCTTCCAGTAAGTTTTGCCATTTTTGCATATTCCATAAGTTTTTGTATCCGTTCTTCCTTTGCTGGGACTTCTGCTCTTCTCCATTTCGGGGCAAGTAACATTCTTGCCACTGTAGTCACATACATAAATAAATTTCTATACAATTTAGTTAGTTCTGTCCCTATAATTCCCAAAGGAAAAGCTCAGTATTGTCTCTACACTGACCATCCGACTTCTGCTTAAAAACCTCCATCTTCCTATCTCCAAATCCTGAAAGACTTTCGATCTAAATAATTTGGATTGTTGCTGTAAGTTGTCCCTATTTTCAGCGGGTATGGGGTTTGGCAGACTGCCCTTCTTGAAAAGATACTGCATAAACGAAAAGCGTGTCTTAAGGGCAGAGCTCAAATGACTACATCTATGTGGCACGATTTTATTTATTTTCACAAATATTGTGTCGCATGATCACCCAGTGCCACCTATATATGCAGATGTCTGGGTCGTTTAAGGCCATTGTTGTTGTTTAGTCGTTTAGTCGTGTCCGACTCTTCGTGGCCCCCTGGACCAGAGCACGCCAGGCACTCCTGTCTTCCACTGCCTCCCGCTGTTTGGTCAAACTCATGCTGGTAGCTTCATTAATGAATTTGTTCATTATTTCCCCCCAAAATATAGTCCAGCCCCCCACAAGGTCTGCAGGACAGTGGACCGGCCTATGGCTGAAAAAGCTTGCTGACCTGTGACATAAAGCAAGGAGGAAATAGCTCAGTCGGGAGAACACAATACTCTTAATCTCTGGGTTGTGTGTTCGAGCCCCATGTTGGGCGAAAAATTTCTGCATTGCAGGGAGGTTGGTTTAGACAGCCCTGTTTTCCCTTTCCAACTTTACAGATTCTTTCATGAAATATCTAGCAAGCTAATTGGAGATAGTTAAGAGGATGGTACCTTGCCCCTTCTTAAAAAATCTGGGGAAAGGATGCTCAGTTTCCAACTCTTTGTGTTTCTGCGTTGCTGGATGACTCATTTTTTTTCCTTCCAGGTACTTTCCCACTTTAAAAGCATAACAAAAGCCCTTTGTGCTTGGTCAGGTGACCTAGCATCCTGTCTCCAGCAGAGAGAAGCTCTCTGTCAGCTCCCAGCCTGGTGTCTGGAATTCAGAGTTAACCCTTTTCTTTAAAAAAATGTTGTTGATTTGTTTACAAAACAACAGAATAAAGGTTCTATACAGCCTTAAACGATTGGTTCAAAATTGGGAAAGGAGTACGGCAAGGCTGTATATTGTCTCCCTGCTTATTTGACTCACATGCAGAATTCATCATGCGAAAGGCTGGGCTGGATGAATCCCAAACCGGAATTAAGATTGCCGGAAGAAATATCAACAACCTCAGATATGCATATGACACAACCTTGAAGGCAGAAAGTGAGGAGGAATTAAAGCACCTTTTAATGAGGGTGAAAGAGGAGAGCGCAAAATATGGTCTGAAGCTCAACATCAAAAAAACGAAGATCATGGCCACTGGGCCCATCACCTCCTGGCAAATAGAAGGGGAAGAAATGGAGGCAGTGAGAGATTTTACTTTCTTGGGCTCCATGATCACTGCAGATGGTGACAGCAGCCACGAAATTAAAAGACACCTGCTTCTTGGGAGAAAAGCAATGACAAACCTAGACAGCATCTTAAAAAGCAGAGACATCACCTTGCTGACAAAGGTCTGTATAGTTAAAGCTATGGTTTTCCCAGTAGTGATGTATGGAAGTGAGAGCTGAACCATAAAGAAGGCTGATCGCTGAAGAATAGATGCTTTCGAATTCTGGTGCTGGAGGAGACTCTTGAGAGTCCCATGGACTGCAAGAAGATCAAACCTCTCCATTCTGAAGGAAATCAGCCCTGAGTGCTCACTGGAAGGACAGATCCTGAAGCTGAGGCTCCAAGACTTTGGCCTCCTCATGAGAAGAGAAGACTCCCTGGAAAAGACCCTGATGTTGGGAAAGATGGAGGGCAGAAGGAGAAGGGGACGATGGAGGACGAGATGGTGGGACAGTGTTCTCAAAGCTACCAGCATGAGTTTGACCAAACTGCGGGAGGCAGTGGAAGACAGGATTGCCTGGCGTGCTCTGGTCCAGGGGGTCACGAAGAGTCGGACACGACGAAACGACTAAACAACAACCACAGAGATGAGGGTCAGTGCTGGTGTAAAGGGAGCCTTGGCTGAAGCCTTTAAAACGGTAAATGGAGGGAAACAAGGATGTAGATTTAAGATTTTTAATTTTTTTAAAAATATATATATTTAGATTTTTTTAGATGCTCTGGCTGCAAGGATGATAGAAAACAGAGAGCTAGGGTTGTCACCTGAGCCTGACTCCCCCCCAAAACACCAAAATGGACATTTGCTATAAAATGTCAACGTCCCCCCAGATGGGCGTGTTGGCCCCCCAAAAGAGGACATGTCCAGGATTTCCCAGACGTATGGCAACCCTAATGTTGCAAAAATATTCCTGAACTGCAAGGGGGTTGGACTCGGGTCCCTTGCAACTCTACGATTATAAGGGGGTGGGTCTGGAGATTTGGAGGCCTAACAGAAGTGAAGCCGGGTATGAGCTGGTAGCAGATGGTACTTACGGATTCCGGCGGCATTTCTTTAAATCATTGATGCCTTGCTTTGTGCCCTTGCTGTGAGCAATGGTATGTTTTGCGGTTTGGCAAATTGCAATGAAATTGTTACGGCTTTTGGTTCATACAATAAACCCTTTGGTACAGGCACTCACACCCCACCCACGCCAGCCCCTGCGTGTGAGGGCAAAACTGGTTTGACACCCAACGGCCGCAGGGCACAAATTCCAGAAGCAGGTCCCAACGCCTCCCTTCCTCACCCAAAGTTTACCTTTTTTGGCAAATCCAGGCAGGTCTCGGCTCTCGCCTCTTCCCACCTTGAGCTCTGCATCAGTGCAGGATTTGACGATTCTACGAACCCTGTTCACACCACGTAGAATCATACGTTGAAGGCTTCCTGCAAATAATCCTTGGATCTTTAGTTTGCTAAGGGTGCTGGGAACTGTAGTTTTGCGAGGGGCAAATTTGCAATTGCTGGGATAGGTAAAGGTAAAGGGACCCCTGACCATTAGGTCCAGTCGTGGCCGACTCTGGGGTTGCGGCGCTCATCTCGCTTTACTGGCCGAGGGAGCCGGCGTACAGCTTCTGGGTCATGTGGCCAGCAGGACTAAGCTGGCAAACCAGAGCAGTGCAAGGAAACGCCGTTTACCTTCCCGCCAGAGTGGTACCTATTTATCTACTTGCAATTTGACGTGCTAGGTTGGCAGGAGCAGGGACCGAGCAACGGGAGCTCACCCCGTCGTGGGGATTCGAACCGCTGACCTTCTGATCGGCAAGCCCTAGGCTCTGTGGTTTAACCTACAGCGCCACCCGCGTCCCTAATTGCTGGGATACTTAAGCGTGTAAGATGAGCCCTCCTGGACCAGTTTGATGGCCGATATAGTGATAGAATCATAGACCTGTTGAGTTGCAAGGGACCCCCCAGGGCATGGGTAGGCAAACTAAGGCCCGGGGGCCGGATTCGGCCCAATCGCCTTCTAAATCCGCCCCACGGACGGTCCGGGAATCAGTGTATTTTCACATGAGTAGAATGTGTGCTTTTATTTAAAATGCATCTCCGGGTTACTTGTGGGGCATAGGAATTCATTCCCCCCCCCTAAAATATAGTCCGGCCCCCCACAAGGTCTGAGGGACAGTGGACCGGCCCCCTGCTGAAAAAGTTTGCTGACCCCTGATCTAGAGGGCTGAGTGTGGGGATGTTGTTGTTGTTTAGTCATGTCCGACTCTTTGTGACCCCCTGGACCAGAGCACGCCAGGCCCGCCTGTCTTCCACTGCCTCCCGCAGTTTGGTCAAACTCATGCTGGTAGCTTCGAGAACACTGTCCCACCATCTCGTCCTCCGTCTTCCCCTTCTCCTTGTGCCCTCCATCTTTCCCAACATCAGGGTCTTTTCCAGGGAGTCTTCTTTTCTCATGAGGTGGCCAAAGTACTGGAGCCCCAGCTTCAGGATCTGTCCTTCCAGTGAGCACTCAGGGCTGATTTCCTTCAGAATGGAGAGGTTTGATCTTCTTGCAGTCCATGGGACTCTCAAGAGTCTCCTCCAGCACCAGAATTCAAAAGCATCCATTCTTTGGCGATCAGCCTTCTTTATGGTCCAGCTCTCACTTCCATACATCACTACTGGGAAAACCAGAGCTTTAACTATAGGGACCTTTGTTGGCAAGGTGATGTCTCTGCTTTTTAAGATGCTGTCTAGGTTTGTCATCGCTTTTCTCCCAAGAAGCAGGCGTATTTTAATTTCTTTTAATTTGGGGTACCTGAGCTAAATGAATGGATCGTCCATAGCTAGAGGCAGTCTATATCTGAATGCCAGGGTTAAAAGGGCACTGGCCTTGCCAGTGTATCTGAAACTTTCATTTTCAACACGAAGCCCGGTAAGCGTGTTCAGAGACACTGTATAACTGACCCCAGAGGTGGACAGCAGCTTCCTCGCCCGGACTCTGGCGCGCAGCCGCTCGCCTCGCTAAGCCCCGCCCCAACCCCCGTGCCCTTCCTCAAGATGGCGTCCGCGGCTTCCACTCGCGAGACCGAGCTGGCCCGCGGGAACCAAACAGGGGAATCCCCGCAGCATGGCCATTTCCACGCCTCCCCTGATCCCATCTGATTTTGCCGCCGCTTACAGTTCAGTCGGGCGGAAGGCGAGGGGCGAGGCCGGGCTGCTGGTGGAGGGGCCGCTACCTGGAGCAGGTAAAGAGATTGCCACAGCCTTTGCCCTTCCTTTTTTTGAGATGGGGGGGGGGTAGAAAACCGAGTTCCTGCCCACCCGGGTAAAGGCCAGGCCGTGGTAGGCGCGCGCGGGTTATGCGGAATTGTTTATTTTTTTCCTGGCGGGGTTGAGTCACCGGCCGATGAGCCGCTTCCGTCCCACGGATGAGCCCCATTGAAAAAGGAGCGGGGGCGTAGAACGTTGCCAGCGCCAGGGTTCCACGGGAAGAACGTTGGCGGCCGCCGTGTTCCATCCCGTGGAACGTTGGCGGCCGTCGCGTTCTATCCCGTGGAACGTTGGCGGCCGCGGGGTTCCATCCCGTGGAACGTTGGCGGCCGCGGGGTTCCATCCATGGAACGTTGCCTCCGCTGCCCCCGGGATTTGCCCGTGCAGGGAACCGGAGGAGGAGGAGAAGGAGGAGGCCTCGCTTTGGTGAGGAACTTTCGCTTAGCACGGCTTGGGGGGAGAAAGGAGAGGCGCTTCCCCAATCTCTCCCCCACCCCACCCCACTTTTCCCCCCCAAGAGGGTCGGAAAAACGGGGCTTCCTTCTCTACCACCCCCTTTCTTGTGCGTCCCTCGGAGATTGAAAAAGGAGCTCGCGGCCCGATCCCCGCAGGCCTTTACTCGGGAAGTAAGCCGCTCCGAATCCTACCAGCGAATGCAAACTTGCAAGTTTATTTTTTTAGATGTTGCTTAAGAGCCAGTGTGCTTCCCTGGAAAGTAGATCCATTGTGTTCAGTGGGGCTTACTCCCAGGTAAACGGTGCGGAGAGGCAACGTTTCTAGATCTTTCTGGAAGGGGGGGGATGTTACTTTTGGGGGGGGGTGCGATCCCGATCCTTATAGAGACCTGAGGCCCCCAATGCAATTTTTAATTGAAGTGTGCAAAGATTGCAGGGAAGGGCAGGGAAGAGAGAGGGAGAGCAAAGATGATCGGAAGTTTCCTGCTTAAAAAATGTTTCCATCTCGGAGTTTCCACCGTCCTGAAAAGAAAAAGACCCTGGTTCCCTCCAGCTGTTTGGGAATGCAAAAAACCACACAACTGGAGGGCTCCAGATGTTGAGGAAGACTGCTTTTGTGTATAGGTGTTTGCGAGAGGGTAAATGGAACCGACGTAATATGTATGTCTCCCCCTCAAAAATCTGACACCCCCCCCCGCAATATTCTTGATTTATCAGTGTGTCCCGTGTCGGAGGTATTTCATATGCAAATAAGTTTACTGCGAGAGGATGCTCCGGCTACAAACATATTCCATGCATTAAATTTATTTGCATATGAAATTCGTTTGAGTGAAAAATACTGGACGATTAGCAAGTCAGAAAACTTTTAACGTCTGCTTTTAGAGCCTGCTATCCTTTTATTGCTGTTTGACCAGGCATGCAAAAGTTAAGTCATTATTTTTGTGCCCTAAATTGCAGCTTTTACTTTGTGCATAAATCCAACACTAGTCCCAATCACTGATTTCCTTTTTCAGCAGGCAGGCAAAAAACCCCAAACCCCACCGTGGGAACGAATTCCCCCTAAATGGGTTCCTGCCCCTTTAATAGAATTAAACCCTTGTCCTGGATTTACCATCTCCTATTCCTCTCCCCCCCCCCCGTCCGGAAACCTGATACATGGTACAGTCCGCTCTGGTGTCAGAAGGAACCATAACGATGCGAGGAGGGGTGATGGGGAACTGCTAGGCGCCTTATACATTTGTTTGCGGCGCTTTTTGCCCTTCTGATAACTCGAGCGTCGTGTGTAAAGCGGTGCAGCGGTGTAGAAAGGATTGTGTGTGGAGACACGATAGGGAGCGAAGCGAAGTTGACGAGCTTTCTCATTATACACCCCCCCCGCCTTAAGGAATGGTACGACCCGGGCCAAAAAACCTTTTCCTCCCTGGAGGCCGGAAAGGAACGTACTAAGAACGTTTCTGGCTGGGGAAGGAGAGTTTAGGCCTTCCTCTGATCTGAGTAGGCAATAGGGGTTTTTTTTTGTTTTTTTCAAAAAAAAAATGCTATTGGTTTTCGCAACATTATAAACAAACAAGCACATAAGACAAGCAAGCATCAATCATAGCCTTATTGAAAATTACACTTGTTAACATTGTTAAGTGACTTCCTCGCTTCCCCTTGGTTGAATTTCATTGCATGTCCTTTTAACGGTTTTCCAAATCACAGTTCTTATAAAATTTAACTTAAACATTAACATCCTTCACAGTATAAAATTAAACATATTAATTCGACATTTAACATAAATAAAATCCTGATTGCCTGCTTAGGGTTATTTGTGCATGCACAGAAAAGAATCAATTTTATTTTTTAATCAGTGCAATTGTTATTATTAGAATTTATATCCCGCTCTTCCTAATGAATAAATGGATTTTTATTTTTAACCCAAATTGCATTCAACTGGTGGGGCTTCTGCTTTCAAATGCAGATCTGCTGGAAATTTGGATTTCATATTTTTTTTCCTGTTGGCCCCAAGAAAGGCAACACGGGAGGTGGGAAAAGGAGTGTAAGGGAAAGGGAGCAGTATTTTTCTTATAACAAAGTGCATACTTGCATTGCATTTTTTATTTTAGTCAGTGGTGTGCAAACTTTTTTCAGAGAGGGCCAGATTTGATGAAATGAAGGGCCGTGAGGGCCGACCAAAGTTGTTAACCTTTTTTTAGGATTGAAGTTGAGCTTTTTTAAGGATTTTACCTCAGAGTTGTTGAGCTTTCTTTAGGATTGAAGTTGCTGAGATTTTTTTAGGATTTTACCCCAGGAAATAAACTGCCACGGGGGCCGGATTAAACCGACCAGGGGGCCGCATTAGGCCCCAAAACAGACTTTGGACATGCCTAATTTAAGTGGTGGGGCTCCTGGTTTCAAATGCAGATCTGCTGGAAATTTGGATTTCATATACAGTGGTACCTCAGGTTACATACGCTTCAGGATACAGACTCCGCTAACCCAGAAATATTACCTCGGGTTAAGAACTTTGCTTCAGGATGAGAACAGAAATCGCGTGGCAGCAGCAGGAGGCTCCATTAGCTAAAGTGGTGCTTCAGGTTAAGAACAGTTTCAGGTTAAGAACAGACCTCCGCGACGAATTAAGTACTTAACCCGAGGTACTACTGTATTTTTTTCCTGGTGGCCCCAAGAAAGGCAGCAAAGGAGGTGGGAAAAGGAGAGTAAGGGAAAGGGAGCAGTGTTTTCCTTATAACAAAGTGCATACATGGATTGCATTTTTTATTTTAGTAAAAGCAGAGTAAGGTGAATAGATGAGGAGGCGGGGAGAAGACAGAAAACAAACAAACCCCACACTGAGGACCGGTGGCATGTTCCGTCCTGAATAAATATTTTAGAGAGATTAGCATCAGGTATAGAAAAATGCTTTAGCATAAGCTGAGAAGGCGCCTCTTCCCCAAATACTCAATATTTTAAGCCAGCTTTTGTTTTGTAGGAATATGGGGAAGACATATTATTACGTGGTGCCCACGAGTTGCTGCTCTCATGATCAGATAATTGAGTTAAGTCTGTTTCCTGTGGTCAGTATTAGTTGGTTAAACTTAGCGATGTGCCAAGAGAATTCAGCTTAGTAGAGCTTGAGAATTTCGTGATATTTAAGATTCTGGGAGAATCCATAAGGCTGTAAGGATCTCTTCCTTGGCTGATTGACACCTGTTTGGGATCCTTGGGCAACTGAAAAGGGTCATAAGCTTTCCTGCCTTTGCCCATAGCTGTCAACTTACAGATTTGAAAATAAGGGACCAGCAGCCTCGAAAATAAGGGACCAGCAGCCTCAAAAATAAGGGATCAGCAGCCAAAATAAGGGATTTTCCAAACACAGGTATGTTCAACTTCTGAGCCCCTCCGAGCCAAAGGTAGAAAGCCCAGCCAGCAGCCAAATGAAGCCTCAAGCGGTGGTTCCCACAGCGCAGCAACCCGGCAAAGGGGATGCAGCAAGGAAAACCACCGTCCCCTCTCCGCTGGGAAGCGCTGAGCAAAGGCGAGTCCCCAGGCAACGCGGCCGATTTGATTGGCACAAGGCATGCAAGCTCCACCCCCCAGTCGTTCTCAGACTCCTTATTGGGTGAGCAACGCAGCCAAGCAACACAGATGGAGCCTCCCTCCTCCCTGGCCGGCAGGGAGGGAGGGAGAGGAGCTGCTTCCTTTGAAACCCAGGAAATTTAAGGGACAGCAGCGGGACACGGCGCTGGCATAAGGGACTGTCCCGCCAAATAAGGGACGGTTGACAGCTGTGCCTTTGTCATGTTTTATTATCTTCCCCATCCAATGAGAAATGATGGTCTTAGTACAGCAGTACCTTGGTTCTCAAACGTAATCCGTTCCGGAGGTCTGTTCCAAAACCAAAGCGCGTTCCAAAACCAAGGCACACTTTCCCATAGAAAGTCATGCAAAGCGGATTAATCCGTTCCAGACTTTTAAAAACAACCCCTAAAACAGCAATTTAACATGAATTTTACTCTCTAAGGCAGGGGTCAGCAACCTTTTTCAGCCGTTGGCTGGTCCACTGTCCCTCAGACAGACCTTGTGGGGGGCCGGACTATATTTTGAAGGGGGGAAAAGGGAATGAATTCCTGTGCCCCACAAATAACCCAGAGGTGCATTTTAAATAAAAGGACACATTCTGCTCATGTAAAAACACTAGGCAGGCCCCACAAATAACCCAGAGATGCATTTTAAATAAAAGGACACATGTAAAAACACGCTGATTCACGGACTGTCCGGGCCGGATTGAGAAGGCGATTGGGCCGGATCCGGCTTGCGGGCCTCAGTTTGCCTACCCCTGCTCTAACGAGACCGCTGATCCATGTAATGAAAGCAATAAATAATGTACTGCAGTCACACAGTCAATCCATCAGTAGCGGAACTGGGTTCCGCACAGTCACAATAACAACAAAAAAAGAGCCGCAAAAACAAAAAGGCAAAATACCGTATTTTTCGCTCTATAGGACGCACTTTTTCCCCTCCAAAAATGAAGGGGAAATGTGTGTGCGTCCTATGGGGCGAATGCAGGCTTTCGCTGAAGCCTGGAGAGCGAGAGGCGTCGGTGCGCACCGACGCCTCTCGCTCTCCAGGCTTCAGGAATCTATCTGCAAGCCATGCGCACCCGGGGGGAGTTCCCCCAGGCACGCAAGGCTTGCGGGCGGCAGCCTGCAGCGCGGAGCACGGGGCGCCCTCCGGAGGAAGCCCCGTGCTTCCAGCAGGTGTCCGCAGCCTGCCGCCCGGCGCGTGGGGCGCCCTGAAGCAGAGCGCCCCTCGCGCCGGGCAGACATTGGCCAGCCCCACAAGCTCGGGGGACAACGGGGAGGCGCAGCGCCGCCATCCCACTGTTCCCCGACCTGGTTTGGGGGGGGAAATAAAGGAAAAAATTTTTTCCTTTATTTCCCCCCCCCAAAAAGTAGGTGCGTCCTATGGGACGGAGCGTCCTATGGAACGAAAAATACAGTAAATAGCAAAAACAGACATAACACTCAAAACAGATGTGTGGCACTCAAAACGGAGCACGTTCGGCTTCTGAAAAAAGTTTGCAATCCAGAACACTTACTTCCAGGTTTGCAGTGTTTGGGTTCCAAGGCGTTTGAGAACCAAGGGACCCCTGTAGCTAGACATGAAGCCAGCAGTGGGATGCAGCAGCAAAAAGAGCCAATCTGATTGTCGGCTTTATCCAGGGTGGATCTGATTTAAATCAAATTGGTTTATTTTTCAAAAATTTTATTGGTTTTCACAATATTATAAACAAACAAACAAACAAACAAACAAGACAAACAAACATAAATAAATCATAGCCTTATTGAAAATTACACTTATTAACATTGTTCAGTGACTTCCTCGCTTCCCCTTGGTTGAATTTCATTGCATATCCTTTTAACGGTTTTCCAAATCCCAATTCTTATGAAATTTAACTTGAACATTAACATCCTTAAATCTTCATCTTATGGATTTAAACATATTAATTTGACACTTAACATAAATAAAATCCAATGCCAATTAAGTATCTGCAAGCTGTTTTCAGTTAATTTAACTTAACCATATTTAACTAAGTAATCATTAAATTTAATCCACTCTTCCTGGACTCTTCCAGTTAGGTCGGCTAGCTCCAAAAAATCCATCATCTTCATCTGCCATTCTTTTATGGTTGGTAATTCTTGGGTTTTCCACTTTTTAGCTAACAAAATACGAGCAGCAAGCACAACTAAATCAAATTGGTTTAAATCACTTGTCAGTAAGACTTGATTTAAATCTCCCCCCTCCCCCCAAAAAAAGACTAATTCTTGCTGTTATTATCTTAATAGTTACAACCAGATGAAGGGCTTGGACTAGATGACCCCTGGGTTCCTTCCAGTTGTACAATCCTGTGCTTCTGTTGCAGTGCAGTAATATTGCAAACGAATTCATGTATGCGAGCGGCCTAGGTATCGTCTCTGCGCCTCCCCCTTGATGGTTTGCTTTGGTGTAAGGGGGAGAAAGAGAACTGTGATTAGCAGATTACCTGTTTTGAAACGAAGTCCTCTTCCCTCGGTCCGGTCCCCTTTCCAGATGTTTTGGACTACAACTCCCATCATCCGCAGCAGAGGATGATGGGAGTTGTAGTCCCGAAACATCTGGAAAGGCATCGGGCTGGAGAAGGCTGAACGAAGGAGCCAGAGCCGGCCTAGGCAAACTCCAGCCCTCCGGATGCTTGGGACTACAATTCCCATCATCCGCAGCAGAGGATGATGGGAGTTGTAGTCCCGAAACATCTGGAAAGGCATCGGGCTGGAGAAGGCTGAACGAAGGAGCCAGAGCCGGCCTAGGCAAACTCCGGCCCTCCAGATGTTTGGGACTACATTTCCCATCATCCTGGACCACTGTTAGCTAGGGATGATGGGAGTTGTAGTCCCAAAACACCTGGAGGGCCGGAGTTTGCCTAGGCCTGAGATAGAGGGACCGATATCTAACAAATCTGTATCTTATTTTCAAGCTACATCTGTCTGCTTCTGCTGCTCCCGGCTTTGAAGATGGAACAATTGTTTGAATCCGACGCGGTGTTCAATGAGCTATGGACTTGCATGCAGTCCAGCAAAGATTTTGAGGTAAGTGGAATTAGTAGAATTGTAGAGTTGGAAAGGGACTCCAAGGGCACCCTCGATCGGTTTGATCTAATACAGGGTGGATTTGATTTAAATCAAATCGATTTAAATCACAGTTTAAATTACTAGTCAGTAAGACTTGATTTAAATCATTAATTTTTTTACAGAATGATTCATTCTTGCTGGTATAATCTTAATATTTACAACCAGATGAAGGTTTCATTTTTGGAATGAATAAATTTTCAGAGTGGTTTTTACAGTTATATCAAAAATTACTGATTTGTTTATACTGTTAGAAATACATAGATAATTGTGTAATTATTGTGAGGTTTAATAAGTCAACTGTTAATAGTTGGACAACTTTTCTGCTGTACTTTGTTGGAAAGAGAAAAATAACCATTTCCTTAATAACAATCGAAACTATTTAACTAAAAGAATAACTTTATAGCATATGTATCCATGTTTGCTAACTGATGGGGTTAAATGGTTTTTTGTTTTTTAAACTTGGACTGAGTTTTAGCACACATGAAAAACTTAAAACAGGAAATAAATCCTTATTTCCTGATGAATAGCCTTTGGACTATAATGTAAGTTAAATAGAAAACTACCGTATTTTTTGCTCCATAAGACGCACTTTTTTCCTCCTAAAAAGTAAGGGGAAATGTCTGTGCGTCTTATGGAGCGAATGCGTGGTCCCTGGAGCCGAATTGCCCAGGGGAGAAAAGAAGATCATGCTCTTTTTTTTTTTTTAGAAAGAGGGAAGGGGGTGTTGAAAGGAAGCAGCTGATCGGCAAGCGATCGGGAGGGAGATAAGGGACGCTAGTGATAAAGGAGGCTGCCTGGGACGGGGGAGGTAACAGCCCATGGATCCTCAGGATTTTTGCATTGGGTACCCCCAAATTCACCATCAGATCACATAGCATCTCCATGGCTACAGCCTGCACCAAAAAAAAATCACGCACCCACTGTTTCGTGGGGCCACAATGGCGCAAAAACATGGTTACAAAGCACGGATCCACATGGATCCTCAGGATTTTTGCATTGGGCTACCCCAAACTCACCATCAACTCGCATATCATGTCTGTGGCCACAGCATGAACCACAAAAATCATACATCCACTGTTTCGTTCAGAATATTTTCTTCCTTGTTTTCCTCCTCTAAAAACTAGGTGCGTCTTATGGAGCGGAAAATACGGGTTTTTTTGGCTACCGATTGATTGTGTGATTGCAGTACATGGGTTTTTTTTGCTTTCGTTTTATGGATCCATGGTCTCGTTAGATAGTAAAATTCATGTTAAAGTTCTGTTTTAGGGGTTGTTTTTAAAAGTCTGGAGCGGATTAATCCGTTTTGCGTTGCTTTCTACGGGAAAGCGCGCCTTGGTTTTAGAACGCTTTGGTTTTGGAACGGACTTCATGAACGGATGGAGTTTGAGAACCAAGGTACCACTGGAAGAAGAAGAAGATGATGATGATGATGATGTTTGGGTACTTGTCCTGCTGAGACCACCTTGCTGTGGCTCAGGTCCATTCAACTTGCAACCCCGTAATTCTCTTTTTAATTTCTTTCTCTCTTCCCACCCTCTGCCCCTCCCAGGAGGAACTTCATGAGGACCTGACCCTGGAGAACTTTCCCCTTCCTTTCCCGGAGGAGGGCAGTGCCCCCCAGGGGGGCGAGCAGAGCAGTGAGGCCACAATCCTCCCCACCACCTCGGCCGTCCCTTCCACTGAAAACTACCCTGGCGAGCACGGGTTCGAGTTGGCGTTTGAGCCGTCGGGGACCGCCAAATCTGTCACCTGCACCGTACGGAGCTGGGCAGGGGGGTGGAAGTGGGGCAGGGGAAATGATCTATTTAAAAAAATATTAATGGGTTGGGGTACATTGAAGGCCGGATTTAGGTTTGATAAGGCCCTAAGCATCTGAAGGCAGCCCTGTTTAGGGAAGTTTTTAATGTTTGATGTTTTATCATGTTTTTAATATTCTGTTGGGATGCGGGTGGTGCTGTGGGTTAAACCACAGAGCCTAGGACTTGCCGATCAGAAGGTCGGCGGTTCGAATCCCCGCAATGACAGGGTGAGCTCCCGTTGCTCAGTCCCTGCTCCTGCCCACCTAGCAGTTCGAAAGCACCTCAAAGTGCAAGTAGATAAATAGGTACCACTCAAGTGGGAAGGTAAACGGCGTTTCCGTGCGCTGCTCTGGTTCGCCAGAAGCGGCTTAGTCCTGCTGGCCACATGACCCGGAAGCTGTACGCCGGCTCCCTCGGCCAATAAAGCGAGATGAGCGCCGCAACCCCAGAGTCGGCCATGACTGGAGACCTACTGGTCAGGGGTCCCTTTACCTTTTAATATTCTGTTGGAAGCTGCCCAGAGTGGCTGGGGAAACCCAGCCAGATGGGTGGGGTATAAATAATAAATTATTATTATTATTATAAGCTACTGAAGGTAACGGGGCCCTTTCTATGCCCAGGTGTACTTTGTCAGCAACAAATTGTCGCTGTTTTTTTGTGTTGAATATATGCTATATGGTCATTTATGGACCTTGCAAGTATCTCAAGCCAAAATATGTATTTTATCAAAGTAATTGTTGATCTGAAATACAGTTAAGAAGAAGTATATTAATAGTGAAGTACAATTGAGAAGAGGTATGTTAATAGTGAAATATTTATTAAGCTCTAACTTAAAATGATTTTTTTATTCATAATGCAAACACATTGGCATTTGGCAAAAATTCCTTTAGAAACACACTTTAAAAAGACTCATAATCTAGTCTCGGGAAACTTGCTATAAGTGTAATGTGAAATAATAATAGGTGTAAATATATGATGTAAACTATCTGCTAATAATTATAAATAGCAGAATGTAGGCACCCTATATATAGAAAGGAGCAAACCTGTGATATTTTAGGGAGCAGGCGGGGCCCATGACTTACATCACAGAAGCCTGCACAACACAAAACACTGTTGCTGCATGTAGGTTTTATTTTATTTGTTTTTTATCTTATATTTTGGAAATGTACATCCATGTGTTTCCCCCCCTTTCATTTATTTGGGGGCCCCAAGAGAGTGGGGCCCTAAGCTAGAGCTTGTTTAGCTTATACGTAAATCCGTATTGTTTGGAGGGGAGACCTTCACCCATGGAGGGGCATTGGCAAAGGTTGGTTTTATAAAAGGTCAGAAACTCAGATAGATAAGCTAATCATGAAATGGCGCGTCAAACAGGTTAAGGTCGCCAGAAGAGAAAGTCTAGAAGTCTTTATTTTATTTTCTCATTTAAACTTATTATTAATTTCATTTCTATATCGAAGGCGGAGGGCCTTCTCGGTGGTGGCGCCCGCCCTGTGGAACGCCCTCCCACCAGATGTTGAGGAAATAAACAACTATCTGACTTTTAGAAGACATCTGAAGGCAGCCCTGTTTAGGGAAGTTTGTAATGTTTGATCTTTTATCATGTTTTTAATATCCTGTTGGGAGCCACCCAGAATGGCTGGGGAGGCCTGGCCAGGTGGGCTGGGTATAAGTAATTTATTATTATTATTATTATTATTATTATTATTATTATTATTCTAAAGGAAACATCTCCAGAGCTGTTTACCGAAACTTTAAAACATCATATGAAACCATCCTGAATAAACCAGATGCAGGCGTCAAGGAAAATATTCCAGATCCATCTCTAAGTGGCCTTTTGCTTTCCCCAAATTTATTCACCTAGTTAATTGATACAGCTTTCCCCATAGCAGAAGGACTCTGGGAAGGCAGTGGGGTGAAGTGGTGAGAGTGTCAGACTGGGCCCTGGGAGTTCTGGGTTCAAATCCCCACTGGGCGACCTTGGAGTCAGTTGCAGCCTCTTCGCCTCTCTCTCAGGGTCGTTGTGGAGATTAACTGAGCAGGGGGGTGAACCATGCACTACTTGGAGAATAAAGTGGGATAAAAATACAATGAATAAGTTATTCTGCTCACCAGTTTAAGAAAGCTGGAGGGGCCAGCGAGGCAGAGATGTCTGTCGCCAACCCGGCGCCCAGAGATCTGCACGGCTCTGCACCTGGTGCCTGGGGGATTTTGAACGGGGTGCTCCTCCAGGGTGCCATAAATTCATCCCCAGTGCCCCCTAAAAGCGTGATTCCGAATAGGAGTTTTGCAGGAGCCACAAAGAAAATAACAGCACAGTTCAATTCAAATCTTCCCAATGAATGGCGCACCCATTCGAAAGCCCCATATAAACTAACATGGATCTAGCGTGAAAGTCTTCGTCGCAGGGCTATGGGTTCAAGTGCCACGTTGGGCAAAAGATTCCTGCCTTTGCAGGGGGTTGGACTAGATGGCCCTCTGGTCCCTTCCAACGCTACAATTAATTCTTTTTAAATTTTATTTTAATAAATTGGTTGAATGAATCGATGCGCACCTCCTTCTTTGTTATGTTTGAGGTGAAGTGTGTGTGTTGTTGTTTAGTCGTGTCCGCCTCTTCGTGACCCCTGGACCAGAGCACGCCAGGACCTCCTGGCTTCCACTGCCTCCCGCAGTTTGGTCAAACTCATGCTGGTCGCTTCGAGAACACTGTCCCACCATCTCGTCCTCTGTCGTCCCCTTCTCCTTGTGCCCTCCATCTTTCCCAACATCAGGGTCTTTTCCAGGGAGTCTTCTCTTCTCAGCTCCAGTGAGCACTCAGGGCTGATTTCCTTCAGAATGGATCGGTTTGATCTTCTTGCAGTCCATGGGACTCTCAAGAGTCTCCTCCAGCACCAGAATTCAAAAGCATCCATTCTTGGGTGATCAGCCTTCTTTATGGTCCAGCCCTCACTTCCATACATCACTACTGGGAAAACCAGAGCTTTAACTATACGGACCTTTGTTGGCAAGGTGGTGTCTTTGCTTTTTAAGATGCTGTCTAGGTTTGTCATTGCTTTTCTCCCAAGGAGCAGGCGTCTTTTAATTTTGTGGCTGCTGTCACCATCTGCAGTGATCATGGAGCCCAAGAAAGTAAAATCTCTCACTGCCTCCATTTCTTCCCCTTCTATTTGCCAGGAGGTGATGGGACCAGTGGCCATGATCTTGGTTTTTTTGATGTTGAGCTTCAGACCATATTTTGCGCTCTCCTCTTTCACCCTCATTAAAAGGTTCTTTAATTCCTCCTCACTTTCTGCCATCAAGGTGGTGTCATCTGCATAACTGAAGTTGTTGATATTTCTTCTGGCAATCTTAATTTTCCATTTAATAATACACATTTACATCATCATTATCGACTTTACCGCCCTGGCTTTCAAAATTAACTAACGCTACAATTAATTCTTAACTAATTTAATTGGTTTGTAGAATCGTAATATTACAGAGGGTCATGTTGTCGAACCCTCTTGGGTCCAGTGATACCAGCTTTTTAAAGTCTTATATCTTGGCGCCAATCTAGGCGTTCCCACTGTGGTCCATTACTGCTTCATTTTCACAAACAGAAGACCCGGCCTGCTCTCTCCTTCCCAAAATGTTCGGAAGGGGCCTCGTTCTTTTTAGAAACTCACTTCGGGCAGATGGCGCCCATCCTTGACTCCTGCCGCGCCGCCCGGGGACCGGTGGGAGTTGTAGCTCAAAGCAGCTCAGGGGCACCCAGCTGAAGAATGTCAGCCGCCTTGGCACCATTCGTTTGAAGCTCTGAGATGCCACACGTCCAAACCATCATGGCTTCAACCCCCCAAAGGATTCTGGGAGCTGTAGCTTGTTCCAGGTGCTGAGAGAGCCCCTATTCCCCTCACAGAACTATAATTCCCAGAGCAGTCCATCCCTCTTCCCAGGGAACTCTGGCCGTTGTAATAGGGATATTCGGACAGCTCCTAGCACCCTTTATATACTACAGTTTCCCTGAGATAGATGGATAGATTTACATACATTGGGGGTTGCTCAGTTTTTACCGTTTAAAGCGTTTAAATGTATGGTACAGATGGGCCCTGGGATAAAGAAAATTCACTTTGAAGACTTGTCAAGAAATTCCTAAGGCCCCATTTTCACTATACAGTGGTACCTCAGGTTACATACGCTTCAGGTTACAGACTCCGCTAACCCAGAAATAGTGCTTCAGGTTAAGAACTTTGCTTCAGGATGAGAACAGAAATCGTGCTCCGGCGGCGCGGTGGCAGCAGGAGGCCCCATTAGCTAAAGTGGTGCTTCAGGTTAAGAACAGTTTCAGGTTAAGAACAGACCTCCGGAACGAATTAATCACTTAACCGGAGGTACCACTGTACATTTAAAACAGCACCGTCCCACTTTTAACCCGTCAATCACTTCCTCCCACCCAAGAGTTCTGGGAGTTATAGTTTAAGACTCCCTTCTTCCCCTCACAGAGCTACAATTGCCAGAAAGGGGTGGTGGTTGATTATTAAACTGCTCTGGGAATTGTAGATCCCACAGTGGGGACGGGACACTAGGGAAGGGGCCTCCTCTTGCCTCTGAGCACCCTCAGTAAACTACAGTTCCCGTAATTCTTTGGGCGGAAAAAACTCCCGGCTTTTGGAAGTGGTGCTTTGATCGCACGTTGTGACTGCGACCCGAGTCTCGCAGCTTTTTAAAGGCGGATATTTGAGGAGGCTGGACTTGAGACCAGACCCCTTTTCTCCACACACCCCCCAAACAACTCCGCAAGGCAAGTTTGGACATGTTTTGCTCTCCTCCTTGCACAGTTCATTGAGTTTCGTGTGTTGCTGGGGGGGATTGGGGGGGGGCTGAGAGACGGACGGAACCCCGTTGCTCAGTGTCCGAAATTAAATCCCTTGATCTTGTGCCGTGATGGCCGAAAAGGTTAGTTGAACTTTGGGCATGTTAATAGGATTGCGGTGCGTGTGGCTTTTTTGGGGGGGGGAATCCTGTGTGGTCGAGATCACTACCCCCCCCAAAAAAAAACAGTGTCAGGAAAGGAATTTTAATGTAAAGCAAAGGGCCAGCAAAAAGACTGCTGTGGGGTTTTTTGGGGGGGGTGGGTTGCCTAAAAGGATGGGTGTGAATTGATTCCTACATTTTTTGAGGGGTGCTAAAAATTCTTGGGGGTAGGTCAGGCTTAATACATTCCTGTGAGGGTGAAGGAGGGGCTGCATTATCCTGCAAGCATATAAAATCTAGGGCAGAGGTGGCCAACTCGTGATCTACCGTATTTTTCGCCCCATAGTTTTTTGGGGGGGAAATAAAGAAAAAAAATTTATTCCCCCCCCCCCAGGTGTGGGGCTGGGGCGGGAGAAGCCCGAGCTTCCCCCGACCCCCAGCCCCCAGAACAGGCTGCTCTCCACAAGCCTACAGGGCGAAAAATACGGTACTCACAGAGTTAAAAACCGGCAGTGATCTACTCCCGTTTTTTAGGGGTTCAGGTCAAAGTCGTTGAGCTGTTTTTTGTAGGAAGGAAAGCCCTGTTTTTGGGGGAAGCTTTTGAGCTTTTTTTAGGGGAGCCAAAGTTCTTGAGCTGCTTTGCGGAGAGCCGGTGATCTACCGCAGACATCCGGTGATCTACCGGTATTTGATCTAGGGCATTTGGGGAGAGAAGAAGGGAGCTGTCGAGGTGGGGCGGGAGAGAATTGTAGGGTTTACAACTCCAGAATGAGTATAGATTCGACTCCGAGGTTGAGGGGGGCCCGGACGCCTGGGTTCCCTCGGAGGCTGGAGGAGCCAGTTGTTTGGACATCTTACAGTTATCCTTTTTAACTTGCTTTTTAAGCTGTTTTTTAAATGTTGCTTGTGTGCTTGCAAGCTGCGCCGGGGCCTTTGGATGTTGTTGTTGTTGTTTAGTCGTGTCTGCCTCTTCGTGACCCCCTGGACCAGAGCACGCCAAGCCCTCCTGTCTTCCACTGCCTCCCGCAGTTTGGTCAAACTCACGTCTGTAGCTTCGAGAACACTGTCCCGCCATCTCGTCCTCCGTCATCCCCTTCTCCTTGTGCCCTCCATCTTTCCCAACATCAGGGTCTTTTCCAGGGAGTCTTCTCTTCTCATGAGGTGGCCAAAGTCTTGGAGCCTCAGCTTCAGGATCTGTCCTTCCAGTGAGCACTCAGGGCTGATTTCCTTCAGAATGGAGAGGTTTGATCTTCTTGCAGTCCATGGGACTCTCAAGAGTCTCCTCCAGCACCAGAATTCAAAAGCATCCATTCTTTGGCAATCAGCCTTCTTTATGGTCCAGCTCTCACTTCCATACATCACTACTGGGAAAACCAGAGTTTTAACTACACGGACCTTTATTGGCAAGGTGATGATAATAAATTGTATAATTTCCATGTTGTAATGTTCTCTCTCCCTCTCTTTTTCAACGTGTAGTACTCACCGGTTCTCAACAAGCTCTACTGCCAGATGGGCAAGACTTGCCCCGTCCTCATCAAAGTGGCCACGCCGCCCCCTCTCTGGGCCATCATCCGCACCACGGCCATCTTCAAGAAGTCTGAGCACATCGCCGAGGTGGTCAAGCGATGCCCGCACCACGAGCGCTCTGGCGAGGGCAGCCGCGGTAAGCTCCTGCAGAGGGAAAGGGCTGGCTCTTTTGGGCAAGGGGGCTGGTCTCCCTGGACGAGGACAGGACCTTGTCTACAAAGGATTCGAACCCAGTGCACCCTTCCTCTTTCCTTCCCCGTCCAAATGCATGCTTCGTGGTCAGGGTGGGTTTGATTTAAATCGGATCAAATCACGATTATTTAAATGACTAGTCAGTAAGACTTGATTTATATATATATTTTAAAAATGTTATTCAATTTTATTGGCAAATACGTAGAAATCAATACTTGCACACTTGAAAAAGGAAAAAGAAATTAAGGAAGGTTACAAAAAAAGGAGGGAAAGGGAAACAGAAAGGAAAACAAACATAAATAAATAAATAAATGAAATGTATAAACTTGAAAAGTATAAATAACAACAACAACAACAAGGCCTGGTTGAAGAGGAACTTAAAAACAAAAACAAAGTGGGACAGAAATAAAAGCAATAATAATAATAATAATAATAATAATAATCCTCACTATAAAGAAAAGGTGCCTAGACATTCAGTTTTGGCTACCTCAACCTGGGTCTAAAGTGCGATTAGATTATATACAATTAAATTATAAAGCAACTGCGTTATTCACTATAAACAGAGCAGTTGTTTCTTTTCATTTTCCGTCGTATTTCTTAGCAACAAATTTGGTGTCGCACGAACAGATTTTTATTCTGGAAGTGCAACCCATGGGGAAAAGTTTGAGAACCGGTTCCCCTGCACTATTAAAAAACGTTATTCGGAAGAGTGGTTCGGACAGCGCACTGAGGGAGATAAGAATGACACCATAAATCTCGGAACAAGAGCGATGAATTGCGCATAGGCTCAGAACCCGATTGAAACTAGTTTGATTAATTCAGTGAAACAGGATGAGCTTGATCCAGCGAAAGGACCTTTCCTAAGCCAGGTGGCGATTTACGCCCCCAGCGCTCGCCTGACCCCCTCTTGCCTCTTAGCAATCCCCCAGGTAATCCTCCTTGAGATTTACTCCCAGGGACGCGGGTGGCGCTGTCGGTTAAACCACAGAGCCTAGGACTTGCCGATCGGAAGGTCGGGGGTTCGAATCCCCGCGAAAGGGTGAGCTCCCATTACTTGGTCCCTGCTCCTGCCCACTCAGCAGTTCAAAAGCACACCAGTGCAAGTAGATAAATAGGTACCGCTCCAGTGGGAAGGAGTACGGCGTTTCCGTGCGCTCTGGTTTCCGTCATGGTGTCCTGTTGCGCCAGAAGCGGTTCAGTCCTGCTGGCCGCATTACCTGGAAAGCTGTCTGCGGACAAACGCTGGCTCCCTCGGCCTGAAAGCAAGATGAGCGCTGCAACCCCAAAGTCGCCTTTGATTGGACTTAACCATCCAGGGGTCCTTGACCTTTTATGTTTTAAGATGCAGTAGGAAAAGATTTAAGGGACGCGGGTGGCACTGTGGGCTAAACCACAGGGCCTAGGACTTGCCGATCAGAAGGTCGGCGGTTCGAATCCCCGTGACGGGGTGAGCTCCCGTTGCTCGGTCCCTGCTCCTGCCAACCTAGCAGTTCGAAAGCACGTCAAAGTGCAAGTAGATAAATAGGTACCGCTCCGGCGGGAAGGTAAACGGCGTTTCCGTGCGCTGCTCTGGTTCGCCAGAAGCGGCTCAGTCATGCTGGCCACATGACCTGGAAGTTGTACGCCGGCTCCCTCGGCCAATAAAGTGAGATGAGCGCCGCAACCCCAGAGTCGGCCACGACTGGACCTAATGATCAGGGGTCCCTTTATCTTTACCTATGTGGAGCAGGCGGTTTGGGGGTGGTTAGCCTGTGGTGTGGGGTAGGCCCTCTGCGCACGCTCAGAGGCCACGCCATCGAAACCATCACGCGGCACATGTTTGCGTTTTGGACGCCGCTGGTGCCATCCGCACCCAATCCTTTGTCCCTTTTGCAAAGCAGCCGTCCCCACACTCTTCTTTCTCTCTCCCCCCTTCTCCCTCTCCCCCCGCCCGGCCCCGATCCGGTTTTGTGTCCTCCAGGAGGCATCGCCCCCGCCGAGCACCTGATCCGGGTGGAAGGGAACCAGCAGGCCCAGTACTTATCCGACCAGAATACCAAGCGGCACAGCGTCGTCGTTCCCTACGAGGCACCCCAGGTTATCGAAATTGGGGCGTTGTGGGAGGGGGAGGGGGCTTGGACCGGGAAAAGATCCCCGGATCACACTGGAGATCTACCCTTTGCGTTCAGGTGTCGCGGCAGCCGGTGACGTCGGGCCAGGATCGGTGCAAATGGGTCAAGCTATGTTGTCCTGGCTGCCGAGTTTTGCTCCAAACTGAAGTTTCCGAACTCTCTGTGGAGAGTTTTTATCTTGCGTTAACAGCGAAACCTCGGTTGCCGAACTGTAATCCGTTCCGGAAGGCCGTTCGGCTTCCGAAACGTTAGACAACGGAGGTGCGATCGCTGGCCGGCAAAATCCATCGACAGATGGAGAACCGCGCCTTGGAAGCCGTTCGAAAATGGAAGCGTTCTCTTCCAGGTCTGTCGGCGTTTGGGTTTCGAATTGTTCTGCCTCCGAAGCTTCGACAACTGAGGTTCCACTGTATTTTTAACGCTGTGAACCGCCCGAGATCTTTGGATGTAGGGCTATAGTATGCACGTTTAATTAATAATATTAATTATACAGTGGTACCTCTGGTTATAGGGACGCAGGTGGCACTGTGGGTGAAATCACAGAGCCTGGGACTTGCCGATCAGAAGGTCGGCGGTTCGAATCCCCGCGACAGGGTGAGCTCCCGTTGCTCGGTCCCTGCTCCTGCCAACCTAGCAGTTCAAAAGCGCACCAGTGCAAGTAGATAAATAGGTACCGCTCTGGCGGGAAGGTAAACGGCGTTTCCGTGCGCTGCTCTGGTTCGCCAGAAGCGGCTTAGCCATGCTGGCCACATGACCCGGAAGCTGTACGCCGGCTCCCTCAGCCAATAAAGCGAGATGAGCGCCGCAACCCCAGACTCGGCCACGACTGGACCTAATGGTCAGGGGTCCCTTTACCTTTTAAGAGACCCCCCAGGGGTCATCTAGTCCAACCCCCTGCAATGCCAAAGTCACAGCAAGCAAACCCTGGACTGAGATTTCCATCTGACCTCTTTTAAAATCTCCCAAGGGAGGAAAGCGGCTTAGTCATTCTGGCCACAGGACCCGGGAGCTGTACGCCGGCTCACTCGGCCAATAAAGCGAGATGAGCGACGCAACCCCAGAGTCGGTCACGACCGGACCTAATGGTCAGGGGTTCCTTTACCTTTACCTCTGCTTATGTACTTAATTTGTTCTGGAGGTCCGTTCTTAACCTGAAACTGTTCTTAACCTAAATCACCACTTTATCTAATGGGGCCTCCCACGGCTGCCGCGCCGCCACTGCACGATTTCTGTTCTCATCCTGAAGCAAAGTTCTTAACCCGAGGTACTATTTCTGGGTTAGCGGAGTCTGTAACCTGAAGCGTCTGTAACCCGAGGTACCACTGTAATACGATGCGGCTTGCAAAGAAAGTTGCACACTTTCTACCTGCTGATAATAATGGTAATTATAGTAGTAATAATTTTGCATTGCACCTTGCAAAGACGCTCCCCTTGAATAGTCTGGGGGGGAGATCAGCAGGTCTCTGTGCCCCAATTCCTGCCCCCTCTTTGCCTTTCAGCTGGGGACGGAGAGCAGCAAAATCCTCTACAACTTCATGTGCAACAGTTCCTGCCAGGGGGGCATGAACCGCCGCCCCATCCTGATCATCATCACGCTGGAGACCCATCTGTGCGTAAAACACTTCTCATCCTCTTCCTCCCTTCTCCCTCCTCCCCCCGGCATCTCCTTGCCCCCCAAGGAGGGCCCTCGAGAGTGCATTGGGGGCTCTGTCTCCTGGGTTCCAGGACTCCTGGCTTCTCTGGGAAGGATGAGGCCAGCGCCCCCAGGTCTGTGGCCGGGAGATGGGACTCTGAACTCCTGTTTGCAGATAGAGAGGTCACAGGCAGCGTTGAAGCAACTCTAGAAGCAAATTTCTCGTGAGATCTGAGGACCAGCTTGACGGTCACTTGAAAATTTCTTTGGTGCTTGACTCTAGATCCCATGAGACCAGGGCCCTTCAGGATTTAACCTCCTTCCGCAGGGCCTGTAAGACAGAGCTATTCCGCCTGGCCTTTAATTTGAATTCAGTCTGATCTTTTCTTCCCATTCCTTCCCCTTTTTATGAAGATCACCCACTCTGAGACCCCACAGCTAATTCTCTCACTGGCCCAAGTAGGACCAATTCAGCCAGCTAGCCCTGGGGATTATCTAATTGATTTTTTATTTTTATTGTTTTTCATGTTTTTATACTGTATTTTATGCTGCTTTTATAATTAAGTGTTTTAAATTTGTTGTCAGCTGCCCTGAGCCCGGTTTTTGAACCGGGAAGGGCGGGGTATAAATAAAAGTTTATTATTATATTATTATATAGATCCTTGCTCTAGCTATGGGTCCAGGGTTGGGGTGGGGGGGGGGAGAAGGGTGCCCAGTGACTCTAGAGATCTGTGACAGTGGGTGGGTACTGATCCTGTTGAACCACAAGGAAGGGAGGGATCCTGTCCAAATCTGGCTACAGCGGTAGCTTGGTTCTCAAACTTCATCCGTTCCGGAGGTCCGTTCCAAAACCAAAGCGTTCCAAAATGAAGGCACGCTTTCCCATAGAAAGACATGCAAAATGGATCGATCCGTTCCGGACTTTTAAAAACAACCCCTAAGGCAGCAATTTAAACATGAATTTTACTCTCTAACAAGACCATTGATCCATAAAACGAAAGCAATAAACAAAGTGCTGCAGTCACACAATCAATCAGTGGCTGAACTGGGTCCCGCACAGTCACAAAAAAGAGCCGAAAAAACGCAAAATACCTCGGGTATCTCGGGTTAAGAACTTAATTCGTTCTGGAGGTCCGTTCTTAACCTGAAACTGTTCTTAACCTGATGCACCACTTTAGCTGATGGGGCCGCCGCCGCGCGATTTCTGTTCTCATCCTGAAGCAAAGTTCTTAACCCAAGGTCCTATTTCTGGGTTAGCGGAGTCTGTAACCTGAAGCGTCTGTAACCCAAGGTACCACTGTAAATAGCAAAAACTGACAGACCTCAGCGTAACGCTCAAAGTGGAAGCCTGTGGAACGCCCTCCCGTCAGATGTCAAAGAGAACAACAACTACCAGACTTTTTAGAAGACATCTGAAGGCAGCCCTGTTTAGGGAAGCTTTTAATGTTTGATGTATTACGGTATTTTAATATTTTGTTGGAAGCTGCCCAGAGTGGCTGGGGAAGCCCAGCCAGATGGGCGGGGTATAAATAATAAATTTATTTATTTATTATTATTATTATCATTATTATTATATATAACACTCAAAATGGAGCATGTTCGGCTTCCGGAAAAAAGTTCACAAACTGGAACACTTACTTCTGGGTTTGCAGTGTCTGGATTCCAAGTTGTTTGGCTGCCAAGGTAAAAAAATCCTACAAAAAAAAAAATCCCATTCATTCCTTCTTCCCTTTCTGCCTTTGCCGCTTGCCTGCGGCCCTCGGAAGCCTTCTCCAGATGAGAATGCGGCCCTTGAGAAAAAAAGGTTTTCTCTCGCCTGCCATCCCTGACGTCTCCTCTCCTCGGCCTTCCCCCTTTCTCCGCAGGGGCCAGCTGCTCGGACGACGCTGCTTTGAGGCCCGGGTCTGTGCCTGCCCAGGCCGGGACCGCAAGACGGAGGAAGAAAACTTCAAGAGAATGGCTCCCTCTGGAATTAACGCCAAGAGGAATAAACTCGAATCTGACGGCGGCGGGAACACCAAGCGGAGTCGACTGGAAGCCGGCAGCGGGAACGCCAAACAGTGCAAGTCTGAAGAGGAGTCGTCCCAGGAATGGTTGCCGGGGAGCCCAGGAGCGTGTAAGCAAGCCTGCTACTCAGATATATATATAATTTTTATTTATTTTCCATTTACCGTATTTTTTGCTCTATAGGACGCACCAGATGATAGGACGCACCTAGTTTGGGGGGGAGGAAATTGTTAGGTTATTTCCGTTCCACCTTAAAAGGGAGCAGGCTTTGTGAGTCACAGAGTCTGCGTATTTCCTGTTCACAGGAAGTTTATGTTGTGTCTATGCTTTCGTTTCTCTCTCTGTGTCAGAGACACTGAAGCAGGCAGTCATGTTTTCTCTTTGTTCTGACCAACGCTGAATAAAGTTGTAAATATGCTCTCCTGAGTGCATCTTTCGCTGTGCATTATCTGCTGATAGAGCGTGCATCGGCTCTGGAATGTGGCAAGCTATTTCTGGAGCTCGTGTCGCTAATTGCTGATACTGTATCTACGGGAGATCGATGGATCGTCCGGGGGCGATGTGGAGTCATGATGGACTTTGTCTCCCTGGCAGTATCCCAACAGAAATAAGGGGGCGGGGGGGATTCTGAATCCCAGAAGCCAGAACAGCAAGAGGGATCTGGCTTCTGGGATAGCCGCTTGGGATAGCTGGTCTAGCTTTGCGCGAAGTTTCCGCAGAGTACGGGGAGCCTTCATCCCCCTGCCCTGCGGAGGCTTTGCGGGGCCATCCAAAAGCCAGAATAGCTAGAGGGAGCACTGCGCAGCGCTCCGTCTAGCTGGTCTAGTTTGCGCGAAGCCTCCACAGGGCACGGGGAGCTTTCATCCCCGTGTCCTGCGGAGGCTTCTGGGACAGCCTGTGAAGCCTCCGGAGGGCAGCGGGATGAAGGCACCCCACTGCCCTGTGGAGGCTTCGCGCAGTTAAGCCAGAAGCTAGAACAGGGAGAGGGAGCACTGCGCAGCCTGCACTCGCTCCATAAGATGCACACACATTTTCCCTTACTTTTTAGAAGGGAAAAGGTGCGTCTTATAGAGCAAAAAATACAGTAATAATATACATTCACACCATCGTTCTCTACTTTACTGCCCTGGCTCTTGAGAGCCTATTGACTTACTTCCTTGCCTCCCGCCTCACGGCTTTCAAAATTAACCTTTATATCATTGCATTTTAATAAATAATAATAATAATAATAATAATAATAATAATATTTATTTATACCCCGTCCTCCCCAGCCAAGACCAGGCTCAGGGCGGCTAACACCAGGTACAAAAACAATTGATTGACATTGCGTTTTCCAGTTCTAATTGCACTCATTACAACAGGACTCGAAACTTAAATATAGAAAGGTAGAAAATTTCTCATTACAAGTCTTCAGGCAACCCTGCTAGTGATGTTAATTGCTTACAATGATCTTTCAAATATTGTATAAATTTACTCCAGTCCTTTTGGGAATACTGGTTTCGGATTTTTCTTGTCAAATTCGCCAGTTCTGCACAGTCCATCATTTTCATCTTCCGCTTTTCTTTCGTCGGTCCTTCTTGTTGTTTCCATTTTGGGGCTAAAAGAATTCTCGCCGCAGTTGTTGCACACATAAACAGTCTTTTATCTTTCCTTGGTATCTCGTCACCCACTATACCCAATAAAAAGGCTTCTGGTTTTTTAAAATAAAAGTATTTTTAAATGCAAGCCTGCCCCTCAATGCAATTCTCTCCCTCTGTTCTAGGGTTGGGTTTGGGGTTTTTTTTCCCAGGGCAGAGGGCACTTTCAAAAGGGGACGCATATACAGTGGTGCCTCGCAAGACGAAATTAATTCGTTCTGCGAGTTTTTTCGTCTTGCGAATTTTTCGTCTTGCAAAGCATGGTTTCCCATAGGAATGCATTGAAAATCCAAAAGGAAACAAACTTGCAAGACGTTTTCGTCTTGCGAAGCAAGCCCATAGGGAAATTTGTCTTGCGAAGCAACTCAAAAAACGAAAAACTCTTTCGTCTTGTGAGGCATTCGTCTTGCGAGGTACCACTGTACAGTGGTACCATGGTTCACGAATTCAATCCGTTCTGGAAGTCCGTCCGTTCGGTTTCCAAAAAACGTTTGCAAACCGGAACACTCGCTTCTGGTCTTTGGCAGCCAATTTGTCCGGGAGCCAAGGTAGCACTGTTTTAATATTTGTTCCTCTTCAAGCAGACCTTTGGAGATCTGACCTCCCTCCTTCTGTAATCCTCATAGAACTCTAGCCCAATGGCTGCCATTAATTTGACTCTGAATTGATTTTAGAATGAATTGATTTTAGAATGTATCTCAATTAATTGATTGTGATTTTATGTAAACTGTGTTACTTTTACTGTTGTTAGCTGCTCTGAGCCCGGCTTCTGCTGGGGAGGGCGGGATATAAATAAAATTATATTATTATTACATGTGAGATGGTTGCTTTGATTTTTATTGTTATTACGCCTTTTGCATTTATTCCGTGGCAAACCGTTAAAAAGCGCCCTGAGAGCTGCGCATGTAGTGGCGTGTGTGTGTGCAGATTTAATAAATAAAATAAATCGACCCTTCCTCCTGTCCCTTTCCACAGCTTTCTCTCAGAGCAGCGATTTGGGAGGCTCCAAGAAGCGGATCGTGGAGGCTCCCAGTGGCGTCAGCAGTAGCACTGAAGGAAGAGTTTACACCATCCAGGTGACTTTCGCGGGGCGGGGGGGGCGGAAAAGCCTGAAAGCCCGGTCCCAGGCCTTGCGTAAATGTTGCCGCTGAACTGCATCCTTTCGGCTTAAATGTCCCCCCCTTGGACTGCGAGGGGGCTCCAAGATGGCCGCTCCCTGATTAATAATAAATAATAATTATTATTTATTATTTATACCCCGCCCATCTGGCTGAGTTTCCCCAGCCACTCTGGGCGGCTCCCAATCAAGTGTTAAAAACAGCCTTAAATATTAAAAACTTCCCTAAACAGGGCTGCCTTCAGATGTCTTTTAAAGAGACGATAACTACTTATTTCCTTGATATCTGGTGGGAGGGCGTTCCACAGGGCGGGCGCCACCACTGAGAAGGCCCTCTGCCTGGTTCCCTGTAACCTCATTTCTCGCAGTGAGGGAACTGCCAGAAGGCCCTCAGAGCTGGACCTCAGTGTCCGGGTTTAATGTATTAAAAATACATTAAAATGTCACACATTTTAAGCTTCCCTAAACAGGGCTGCCTTCAGATGTCTTCTAAATGTCAGGTAGTTGTTTTTCTCTTTGACATCTGCTGGGAGGGCGTTCCACAGGGCAGGTGCCACCACCGAGAAGGCCCTCTGCCTGGTTCCCTGTAACTTGGCTTCTTGCAGGGAGGGAACCGCCAGAAGGCCCTCGGAGCTGGAGCTCAGTGTCCGGGTAGAACGATGGGGGTGGAGATGCTCCTTCAGATATACTGGGCCTTTGAGGCCGTTTAGGGTTTTCAAGGTCAGCACCAACACTTTGAATTGTGCTCGGAAACGTACTGGGAGCCAACACAGATCTCTCAGGACCGGTGTTATGTGGTCTCAGCGGCCGCTCCCAGTCACCAGTCTAGCTGCCGCATTCTGGATTAATTGCAGTTTCCGGGTCACGTTCAAAGGTAGCCCCACGCAGAGCGCATTGCAGTAGTCCAAGCGGGAGATAACCAGAGCATGCACCACTCTGGCGAGACAGTCCGCAGGCAGGGAGGGTCTCATCCTGCGTACCAGATGGAGCTGGCAGACAGCCGCCCTGGACACAGAATTAACCTGCGCCTCCATGGACAGCTGTGAGTGCAAAATGAGTCTCAGGCTGTGCATCTGCTCCTTCAGGGGCACAGTTGCCTCGTTCAGGACCAGGGAGTCTTCCACACCCGCCTGCCTCCTGTCCCCCCAAAACAGCACTTCTTGGAACCCAAGTTCCCTGGGAGGAGCCACCACCAAGAAGGCCCTGTGTATGGCTTGCGCCCAGGATGCCTGAGGACTATATTTCCCTCATACAAACCTGCCCAGACTCTGAGATCTTCGGTGGGGGGGGGCTTCTCTCGGTCCTGCCACCCTCACAAGTGGGGACATGGAACAGGGCCTTCTTGGTGGTGGCTGCTCCCAGGCACCTTTGGAACTCCCTGCTTAGAGAAGCCAGACTGGCTCCCTTGTCCTTCCACCGGCAGGTGAAGATGATTTTATTCCAACAGGCTCTTGGGAAGCAATGGGATTTTAAGGAAAGGGCTTTTAAATAGTCTAGTACCATGCTGCTTTTATTATCTACATTTTAATAGATTTTTTAAAAAATAAATAAATTGCATCTTAATTACTTTGGAACAAGGATCTTCCACCGCTTAGCTTTCTCGTATCTCAATCTGCGCTGTTTTAATTTTTGTAAGCCGCTTCGGTTCCTGGTCCGTGGGGGAAGGCGAAGGTATAAATAAATACGATGGGAAGAATTGATAATGGCAATATTTCCTCCTCCCTTTCCAGACTCGTGACCGGAAGCTGTACCAGCTGCTGAAGAAAATAAAAGAAGCCATCGAGTTTCAAGATTTGATGAAGCAAAACAAGGAGCCGGCCAAAGTGTGAGTGGTTAAACGCTGCCTCCTTTGGCCTTCTCCTGACTCCATCTGTCTCAAGTGTCGACTGGCACTGACTTCTACATGCCAAGCAGGTGTCCTGCTCACAGGCTGCATCCTTTTCCCCCTCCATCTCGCCAGGTCCATCACCAGTGTGGTCAGATTGGAGTGTGGGGTTTTTGCCTAGCTTGCTTGCTATATATATATATATATAAAATTTTAACTGATTTTTAGATCTTTTTAGACTTCCATCAGCACCTCTGATGATCCACCGTTTTAACCACTTCTTACGCATTTCTTAACTTTATATTGCCTTTACATCTCTTAACAAATCATCCTCCCCCTTCTCCATTTTTGCAATACTTCCAATGATTCACCTCACAAAACTTCTTGCAAACCTACAAACATCGTCTGATCTTCACAAATACTTTTCAAATAGTCCGTAAATTTACTCCAGTCTTCCGTGAATTTCTGGTCCTGCCGGTTTCGAATCCTTCCTGTTAGTTTATCTAGTTCTGCATAGTCCATTAACTTCATCCTCCATTCTTCAATCGTCGGTAGTTCTTCTTGCTTCCATTTTTGGGCCAGTAATAGTCTTGCTGCTGTTATTGCGTATAAAAAGAGCTTATATTCCTTTCTATTTATATCACTCCCAACAATGCCCAGTAAAAATGCTTCTGGTTTCTTTATAAATGTATATTTCAACATTTTTTTTCATTTCATTATATATCATCTCCCAGACGCATTTCACCTTTTTACATTCCCACCACATGTGATAAAATGTTCCCTCTTTTTCTTTACATTTCCAACATTTATTACTAACTTTATACAATCTCTCTAACTTGACAGGTGTAATATACCATCTATACATCATTTTCATCACATTTTCTTTTAGGGCATTGCATGCAGTGAATTTTAAACCTTTCCTTGCTTGCTTGCTTTTGCGAGGCGCAGCTTGGCTCACTGACTCGAGCCGCTCAAGGCTCAGTACACCCTGCCTTAAGAGCTTGCTGATTTCTCTTCCCCCCCACACCCAATAATGGCTTCTCGCTCCTCCTGTTATGAGTGTGGGCTACCCCCCAATTTTTAAAAAAACAAAGAACCCCCCCAGAACCAGGACATTTCATGTAAAATGCAAAAATCTGCCCAGGAGGGCATGGCGACTCCCCAAAAGAGGACTTGTCCTGGAAAACCTGGACATATGGCAACTCAGCATTATCCGAACCTAAGTGTTTATGTCTGCCTTCAAGTCACCGACATTGTGAGGATGGGTGTCATCAAGGAGTTGAGTCTTCTGTCCTTGGCAACCAATTTTGCCTGTTTTCATCCTTAAGTGGGAGGTGGGTGAATATTCAGGATAATAATTATAATAATAATAATTTATTATTCATACCCCGCCCATCTGGCTGGGTTTCCCCAGACACTCTGGACGGCTTCCAACAAAATACTAAAATACAATAACCTATTAAACATTAAAAGCTTCCCTAAACAGGGCTGCCTTCAGATGTCTTCTAAAAGTCTGGTAGTTGTTGTTCTCTTGGACATCTGATGGGAGGGCGTTCCAGAGGGCGGGCGCCACCACCGAGAAGGCCCTCTGCCTGGTTCCCTGTAGCTTGGCCTCTTGCAGTGAGGGAACCGCCAGAAGGCCCTCGGAGCTGGACCTCAGTGTCCGGGCAGAACGATGGGGGTGGAGACGCTCCTTCAGGTATATTGGACCAAGGCCATTTAGAATATTCCGAAATGCCTTTCTTTGAGCCAGCGGCTGGCAATTTGACTTGGTCCAGAGTCACCAGAGCTCATCACAGTCGGTTTCATGTCATAATTAGAGTCATGTCGATCTTGTGCCCTGATCCTCAGAGGTAAACCGCACCATAAATTCAGATTAATTGGGCTGGCCGAATTATTCGGCCCTTGTAAACGGCGTGCAGGCGGAAATCGCTGAAATTTGATTTCCTCCCCCTCTTTCTTTTTTCCTTTCTCCTCCTGTGATGAGGCTGCGTTTAATGTTGTATTTTAATCTTGTATTTAAGTTGTAATCGTTCAACTTGTTTTTGTTATTGGTTGTTAGCCGCCCTGAGCCCGGCCTTGGCTGGGGAGGGCAGGGTATAAATAAAATTTATTATTATTAAATGTCGGGGAGTGTAGATTTGGGTGGATTTCTTTAAAAATCTGGCCTTGTCTGCGGAGGGCGGGGTATAAATAAAATTTATTATTATTATTTAAATGTCGGGGAGTGTAGATTTGGGCCGATTTCTTTAAAAATAGCTCAAAAACTCCAGATTTTCGCTTTTTGAAATACGGATAACCCTAAATTAACACCTCCTTTTCCATCTCTTCTTTGCCTAGGCTCCAGAAGAAGATGGCTGTGGTTGTGAAGGACAACTGAATAGGGGCGCTGCTTCTCCTATCCCCCCCCTGTTTCCCCCCCCAACTCCTCACCCCATTTCCCCCCCCCCAAAGTCCCTTCTTATGGTTGAGCCATTCCCCAGCCTTCTGATTGGGCCAGGTCACAGCAGTGCTGAACCTCCCTGGACCAATCAGGGTTTCCCTAATAGCTGCTGCGGGAGGGGCGCTTCTTTCTATCGCCCCCCCGCCATCAAATGGTTTGGGACAGGCTGCATTCTCCTAATTGCACAAATAACTGCCAGTTCTTGTTTTTTTCCTGAACCGCCTCACTGAGGGCTAGAGAACTGTTGCTCTGTCAAAACTTCGTTTTTTTAATTTTTTATAAAAATTGAGTTTCTCAAACAGTATTCCTTTTTTTTAATTTCTATTTTTATTTTGCAAAAGAGCTGCTGCTTAGTTCGTAACACGGGTGGCGGAGGGCTGCAACCTGCCCCGCATATATTTCCCCAGGCGAGGGCTTGCTAAGGAACGGGAAGGGTGAAATGTTGAGCACTCATTTCTAGAGGGGGTCTCCCACCCCCTAATTCAGTTCAGTATTAGACTGTGGAGACCCGGTTATACTCCACATTCCTTGACCGCGCAGCCTTTTCCCCCAACCTGGTGCGCCCACCGGGCGCTCTGTACTACAATTCCCAGCACTCTGTGCTGGCCATCGCTGTCTGGAGTTGAGCACCAGAACATCCGGAAAGGCAAAGCAGGTTGGCAATGGAGGGTGTGTGTGTGTTTCCAAATAAAATAATTATGGAAGGTACAAAAGGAGAAAGAAAAACAAAACCCAAAACTACAATGATCTGACGCATTAGCAAACTCTCCCATACAGTCCTCCCCCCCGCAATTAATTGTCCCGAAGCTTAGCAATGCCCTCTCCTTTTATCCTCCGCCTCCCCCCCCCCAATTAATTGCTTTGTAGTTTATTTTATATGCTTCGATTTTCCTTGCATGGCTTTTTGTAGAACCTCATTTTTTGTACTTTAATAAAAGATAGACTTTGGTCCTGTTCCTGTTTTTTCCTCTAATATCCCTCCGAGCGGTATTTTGTGTATGTGACTCTAAATCGGGGGGGGACACACCCCAGATGTTTGTATTTTTATATTATTTTGTTGTTGCTTATTTCTTTATCGTTCGCTCTTTGCCATAAGCTGAACATTACTTTTCATTCTGGGTTTTCTAAAATAATAATAATAATGCAATGTCAAACAACTTCGCTCTTTGCCATAAGCTGAACATTACTTTTGTGCTGACCCGGGGGGGGGGCGGTTACCGTGCGGCGTGGTCCGTGTCCGGCCCGAGGCTGAAGCAGGGTCCAAGGCAGGGAGTCAGGTGAGGTCAGGAACTCTGGCAGAAAGCAGGACAGGGTGCCGGCAGGAACAGGTAACCAACGATGTTGCTCCCGCTACCTGGGACTGGGCGGGCTGGCCTTTATCTCTAAGGCATAGGGTGGCCCCGATCCTCTGGTGACTCGCCTCTCCTGGCCTGGAGGCGAGCACTCCTCCTGCGGGGACTTAGTTCCCTCCGCCTCTCTGCCCTGAGCCTCTGCAGCTCAGGAGAGGCTGGAGGGTTACCGGACCCAGAGGCAACCTCAGCTTCCTCTGATGGGGCTGAGAGTGGAGCACCTGCAGGCAATGGGTCCTCCATCATCTCAGGAGCCAGAGCAGACTCAGCTGGTGCCTGCACCTGAGGATCCAGCACAGGTGAGGACCCTTCAGGCTCATCCCCCAGCCCCGGCTCAGCTGGTTCTGGAGGCGGGGACTCCTGTGCAGGCTGGGGTTCCTCAGGTTCAGCCTCTGAATCAGATTCCCAGGCCATCACAACTTTTTCATTCTGGATTGTTTTGTTTTTTTTAAGTAATGCAATGTCAAACAACTTCCAGCCGCAGAAATTAAGTTGGGTCCGCAAAAAGAGACACCTGGGGCATCGAAAAAGGTGCGTCTTCTGAGTCCTCTGAAATCTGGGCGATGAAGGTGTTGGATGCACGTCTGGTGGGGGGAGGCAGCCCCACAGAGTAGTCTCCTCTGCCTTTTTTATATCCCACCTTCCATTCCAAACTTGGGGGGCCACATGGCTCGACTGCCCTTCACCTGAAGATCTCAGGGTGCTCCCTCCTTACAACACCCCTGCCAGGTAGGTTAGGCCAGGAGAGGCAGGGAGTGCCCCTCGCCCTGCAAGACCACCCTGCGAGCTTCAGATCCAGAGATCGCAGCGACTCTTGCACCACTCCAGCTTCCTGAACTACAACTCCCAGACTGTCGAAAACAGGCAACCACAGCAACGAAAACCAAACGCTTTCAATAAAAGCAGTTGGTTCCCCCAAGCCTGTTGAAAGAAGGAAATGTCTCCGCCTGCCGTTGAAAGGACGAAAGCCAATCTAAACTCCAGGAAGGGAGCCACCACTGAGAAGGCCCCGTCTAATCACCACCACCAAGCATTCCTGGGAGGGTGGCGGGACACAGAATGACCTCCCCCCAAAGATGGCAGATTCATGGGGGAGAATATGGTCCTTCAGAGAGCCTAAGCCACATAGGGATTTGTAGGTCACAACCAGCGCTTAGAATTGTGCCCGGATTTCTTTGGCGATCACTCGTAGCCGAGTAAGATTGTCTTCCATAAACACGGTTTTAACAGCGAATCCGTAAGTGACCGTGGAGGCCATTTCTGGATCCACACATCCTTCCACAGTGGGGACATTGGTTTCCGGGTGGGAGTTGATCCTGGTGTGGATTTGCCAAGCGTGCCTTCCTCTTAGCACGTTTCTCCCTTGAGTCCTGAGTTCGAGTGTCTTCAAAGCCCACGACACCTTTGGTCAAGGCTGTTCTCCAACTGGAGCGCTCGCAAGCCAGTGTTTCCCAGTTGTTGGTGTTTATACTCCATCTTTAAATATTTGCCTTGAGAGAGTCTTTCAACCTCTTTTGTTGACCACTAGCATTACGCTTTCCATTTTTAAGTTCAGAATAGAGTAGTTGCTTTGGAAGACGATCATCAGGCATCCGCACAACATGACCAGTCCAACGAAGTTGACGTTGAAGAATCATCGCTTCGATGCTGGTAATCTTTGCTTCTTTCAGTGCACTGGCATTAGTTCGCCTGTCTTCCCAAGTGATGTGAAAATTTTTTGGGAGACGCCGTTGATGGAAGCTTTCGTGGAGTTGGAGATGGCATTTATAAGTGGGTCCATGTTTTGCATGTTTCAGAAACAGGCTGGTGTCAACGCCTTTTTCTCAATGCTAGAGATCAAAACAGAGGCCGTCTGCATGCAATGGGAATATCTTTTTAACTACAGCTCCCCCCACAAGGATAAAGACAGAAACTTCTGCCTGCTGAACAAGGGGAAATCAGAACTGTGGACTTGGACACGGGTGGCGCTGTGGGCTAAACCACAGAGCCTAGGACTTGCCGATCAGAAGGTTGGCAGTTCGAATCCCCACGACGGGGTGAACACCCGTTGCTCGGTCCCTGCTCCTGCCAACCTAGCAGTTCAAAAGCACGTCAAAGTGCAAGTAGATAAATAGGTACTGCTCCGGCGGGAAGGTAAACGGCGTTTCCATGCACTGCTCTGGTTCGCCAGAAGCAGCTTAGTCCTGCTGGACACATGACCCGGAAGCTGTACGCCAGCTCCCTCGGCCAGTAAAGCGAGATGAGCGCCGCAACCCCAGAGTCGGCCACGACTGGACCTAATGGTCAGGGGTCCCTTTTACCTTTAAGAGACACCCTAGGGTCATCTAGTCCAACCCCCTGCCATGCCAGAGTTGCAGCAAGCAAACCCTGGACAGAGATTGCCATCTGACCTCTTTAAAAATCTCCCAAGGCAGGAAAGCCCATCTTTCGTCAGAAGATCATTTCTTGCCCTTTGAATCCGGTGGTTCGGGTCCTCCCCGCTCCATCCAGCCCGTCTGCTGTTTTTTGAGGGTGGCAATTTGGCCGCAACAACAGCCTTGCAAGGCTGGCTCCTTGGTCACTGAACAGTTGCCCAGGAGAGTGCTGCAGTTCCCATGCTGCGCCAGGAGGGGGCAGCGCTGCGCAAGGCAGAAATCTCTCCTGGGGACCATTTTAGCTGCATCCATTCAAGAGCAAAAATAGGACTCTTATGAATGGGAGATGCAGAATTGTAAAAAAAAAAAGGGGGGGGGAGACGTGGGGTGAATGGAAGTGGAGGACACAGCTTGCCTTTGCTGCTGCCAAATCCCTGCTCTCCCCCGCCATGAAGAAGTCTTGAGAGTCCCCCACCCTCAAGAAATTGGGTTTTTTGCCTTCTATGAAGGGGGGGGCTGAGCCAAGTCACCCCACACCCTCCTTTATATGAAAGCTCCTTGCAAAGCAGACCCCACACACGTCTTCTGCACCCGGCAACCTGGCACCCTCCAGATATTCTTCGCTGTCTTTTTTTTTCTGCAAGGAGTTTGAGGCGGGGGGGCGGGCGTGCGCACGGTTCTTCCCCCCTCCCTCATTTAACCGTCACAACAACCTTGCGAGGTAGGCTGGGTTGAGAGGCAGCGGGCCAGTGAGCTTGCTTCAGGGCGGCAGAGGGGGGATTCGAACCCTGGGCTCTCCTGGCTCCGACACAGGCTGAGAGACGGTAGCCGAGTCAGGATTCGAATCCAGGTCCCAGGCCAGCCCTCTACCATGGGTAGGCAAACTAAGGCCCGGGGGCCAGATCCGGCCCAATCGCCTTCTCAATCCGGCCCACGGACGGTCCAGGAATCTGTGTTTTCACATGAGTAAAATGTGCCCTTTTATTTGAAATTCATCCCTGGGTTATTTGTGGGGCCTGCCTGGTGTTTCGACATGAGTAGAATGTGTGCTTTTATTTAAAATGCATCTCTGGGTGATTTGTGGGGCATAGGAATCCGTTCATTTTTTTTTTCTTTCAAAATATAGTCCGTCCCCCCACAAGTTCTGAGGACAGTGGACCAGCCCCCTGCTGAAAACGCTTGCTGACCCCTGCACTAACCACTAGGCCACGCTGCCTGGGAGCTGTAGTCCAAA